AGAACATTTTCATCACCCCCAAAAAGAAACCACACACCCTTTAGCCATCAATCCCCAATTTTCCCCAAACCTCCTACTAGGCAACACTCAGCAAGTTTGTGTCTCGATGGATCTGCCTATTGTAGATTTTTCATATAAATGGACTTACACTATGCATGGTCTTTTGTGATGAACTTCTTTTACTTAGCATACTGTCTTCGAGGTTCATCCTTGTAGAGTCTCTCAGCGCTTCATTCCTTTCATTGCTGGATAATATTCCATTGTATTGGATCTACCACATTTCATTTATCTGCTCATCAGTTGATGGACATTTGGGTTTCCACTTTTTAGCAATTCTGAGTAACGCCCCTCTGACCATTTGTGTACAAGTGTGTGTGAACGTATGTTTTTCATTTCTCTTGGTTATATACCTGGGGACAGAATTGCTGACTCATCTGGTAATTCTGTATTTAACTTTTGAGGAGCTGCCAGCCTGTTTTTTCAAAGTGGCTGTACCAGTTTCCAGCCCTACCAGCAGCAGATGAGGGTTCCAGTTTCTCCACATTCTCACCAACACTTGTTATTTCTTTTTTTCCTAGTCTGTTTGTTTGTTTCAATTGAAGTATGATTAATATAAAGTGTGAAGTTAGTTTCAGGTGTACCACCTATTGATTCAACAGTTCTGTTTATACAGTACTCAGTGCTCATCACGATAAGTGTACTCATTATCTGTCACCATGCATTATTACAATATTATTGACTAGACTCCCTATGCTGTGTTTTCATCCCCATGACTTGTTTATTTTATAACTGAAAGTTTGTACCTCCTAATCCACTCTATCTATTTCACCCGTCTCCCCCAACCTCTCCTCTGCAACCACCAGTTTGTTTTTTGTGTTTGAGTCTGTTTCTTTCCTTCTCTGTGCATTTGTTTTGTTTTTTAGATTCCACATATAAGTGAAATGATATGGTTTTTGTCTTTCTCTGTCTGACTTATTTCACTTAGTATTATACTCTCTAGGTGCATCCATGTTGTTGCAAATGGCAAGATCTCATTCTTTTTATGGCTGAGTAATATTCCATGCATGCACACACACACACACACACACACACACACGTATACTACATCTTCTTTATTCATCTATTGATGGGCACTTAGGTTGCTTTCATATCTTGGCTACTGTAAATAATGCTGCAATAAACATAGGGGTACATATATCTTTTCAAATTAGTGTTCTCATTTTCTTTGGGTAAATACTCAGTAGTGGAATTATGGATCATACGGTAATTCTATTTTTAAGTTTTTGAGGAACAGTGTCTGCACCAGTTTACATTCCTACCAACGGCACAGGGGCTCCCTTTTCTCCACATTGTTGCCGACACTTGTTTCTTGTCTTTTCAATTCTAGCCATTCTGCCAGGTGTGAGGTAATATCTCATTGTGGTTTTGATTTGCATTTCCCTGATGATGAGTCATGTTGAGCATCTTTTCATGTGTCTGTTGGTCATCTGTATGTCTTCTTTGAAAAAATGTCCATTCAGGTCCTCTGTATTTATTTATTTGTTTGTTTATGATTGTTTTAATTTTTATTTTTTTAAAAGATTTTATTTATTTATTTGACAGAGAGAGACTCAGCGAAAGAGGAAACAGAAGCAGGGAGAGTGGGAGAGGGAGAAGCAGGCTCCAGGCCGAGCAGGGAGCCCGATGTGGGGCTTGATCCCGGGACCCTGGGATCATGACCTGAGCCGAAGGCAGACACTTAACGACTGAGCCACCCAGGCGCCCCTGTTTGTTTATGATTTTTAAGTAATCTCTACACCCAATGTGGGGCTTCTGCTTTTTTCCTTTCCAATCTGGATGCCCCTTATTTTATTTTCTTACCTAATTGCCCTGCTAGAACTTTAGTATAATGTTGAATAGAAGTGGGGAGAGTGGGCATCCTTGTCATGTTCCTGATCTTAGGGGGAAGGCTTTCAGTCTTTCAGCTTTGAGTACGATATTAGCTGTGGGTTTTTTGTAGTTGCCCTTTATTAGGTTGAGAATGTTCCCTTCAACTCTTAGTTTGTTGAGTATTTTCATCAAGAAGGAGTGTTGGATTTTGTCAAATGTTTTTCTGTGTCTATTGAGATGTGTTTTTTTCCCCTTTATTCTGTTGATAAGAGTGTATTACATTGGGGCACCTGGGTGGCTCAGTCGTTAAGCGTCTGCCTTCGGCTCAGGTCATGATCCTGGGGTCTTGGGATTGAGCCCTGCATCAGGCTCCCTGGTGGCGGGAAGCCTGCTTCTCCCTCTCCCACTCCCCTTGCTTGTGTTCCCTCTCTCACTGTCTCTCTTTCTGTCAAATAAATTTAAAAAATCTTTAAAAAAAAAAGAGTGTATTACATTAATTGATTTTTGGATGCTAAACTGAGCTTGTGCTCCTGGGACAAATTATTTTGTCATAACATACAATTTTTTTATATGTTGCTGATTTTGGTTTGCTAGTGTTTTGTAGATTTTTATGTCTATGTTCAAAGAGATATTGTCTCAGGTTTTCTTGTGATGTTTCATCTAGTTTTGGTATCAGGGTAATACTTCCTCATAGGATGAGTTCAGAAGTGTTCCTCTTCTGTTTTTTAGAATATTTGCGAAGAACTGGTATCAGTTCTTTTTTAAATTATTATAGAATTCATCAGCAAAGCCATATGGGCCTGGGCTTTTCCTTGTTCTCCTTATTTTTAAAAATAAAAATTCAAGTTCTTCATGAACTTTTGTACCATTAGAATTTTTTAAATAGCATTTTGATCTTCAAGACACTAAAAGTTTTTGGAAGTGTGTGAGCTTTGGAAATAGACCAGCAGACAGACCTAGGATTGAATTCCATCTCCGGAGCTTAGCTTGGGGGTGAATTTCTTAACACCTCTGAATCTGAGTGTCCTCACCTGCGAACTAACGGGGACGGTAGCATGTTGTAAGGTTGAAAGGGCCCAGGCCAGGCCTGCAGTAAGAGTTAGAGATGGCTCGGCCCTAGAACCTGGGTGGCTTTTTAGATCCCTTCACAGTCTCTGTCTCCTCCTGCGTTGTTGCCACAGGGTGCCGTGCCGTTCCTGGTCAGTGCGACGTCTGGCACAACCGTGCTGGGGGCCTTTGACCCCTTGAACGCGATTGCTGACGTGTGCCAGCGTCTCGGGCTGTGGCTGCATGTGGATGTGAGTGAGCCTTGGGCCTGGGGGGGGGGGGGGACTGAGCCAAGGCCAAGGCCCACGTTATTCCTTTTGCTCCACAGGCCGCCTGGGGTGGGAGCGTCCTGTTGTCACAGACACATAGACATCTCCTGGATGGGATCCAGAGGTGTATACGGCCACCTACTTCCTGAATCCCACCCTTCAATTCCTTGACCCAGAGAATAGTCCTGGACTAGGGCTCTTCCGATGGGAAGGAGGGAAGGAGGTTGGTGGGAGGGGCGCTGGAGAGATGGTGGACTGGGGCTGGGAAGTCAGACATCAGACGTGGGAATTCTTCCTGACTGCTGGGCCAGGGTGAGACTCAAGCCCCTTCACTGAAGATATGGTAAAGGAGGGGGGCTCTGGTTGAGGAGCAGCCAGTTGATCCAGCTTTGCTCTGCCCCCCCCCCACCCCTACCCCTGCAGGGCTGACTCGGTGGCCTGGAATCCTCACAAGCTTCTGACAGCAGGCCTGCAGTGCTCAGCTCTTCTTCTCCGGGATACCTCGGTGGGTCGGCCCTGCCCTCTCCTCACTCCACCTCCCACCCTGGATCTCTGTTTTTTTCTCTGACCCACCTTCGAGAGGGTCCTGGCCTTATTATGTCCTCCTCACCATCCCGTCTGAAGCCCAGTATCCGTGACCAGCCTCATCCCCTGTACTGCCCCCACCCCCTCCCCCACCATGGCCTGTCTTCAAGCAAAGGAAGAGGTTTCCAGCTTGCAGTTGTAATTGAAGGGATCCTAGGCTGAATCTGGGAAGAATTCTGGGTATTGGGAGAAAACCCAGAGAAAGGGGCCTAGTGGCAGGGAAAGAATGGGTGGTCTGAGCTAAGAAATCCCCGTGTGCAGCTCTGGAGGAGGCCTCGGTGTGTGTGGGGGGGGTCTGACAGTCTTCCCCACACTCCCCCCCCACCCCAACCAACAGAACCTGCTTAGGCGCTGCCACGGGTCCCAGGCCAGCTACCTCTTCCAGCAAGACAAGTTCTATGACGTGGCTCTGGACACTGGAGATAAGGTGGTGCAGTGTGGCCGCCGCGTGGACTGTCTGAAGCTGTGGCTCATGTGGAAGGCACAGGGCGGGCAAGGGCTGGAGCGGCGCGTCGACCAGGCCTTTGCCCTTGCCTGGTAGGAGTGGGGGCGCTCCTACGTCCTCTCCCCTGGCATTCCGTCTGGTCCGTCCTGCCCCCACCCACTGCTCCGCTCCTCCCATTTTTCTTGTTCTTGGGGTTTCTGGGTTCATTCTCTGCGTCTCTTCTGCTTCTGTGTCTCTGCTTTTCCTCCTACATGTGTGATTTCTTTCTCTCTCTCTCTCTGTGTTCGCAGGTACCTGGTGGAGGAATTGAAGAAGCGAGAAGGATTTGAGTTGGTTATGGAGGTATGCATCCTCCTCCCCACCCCAGGCTATCCCACACAGCAAAGCCCTGATGGGGGAAGAGGGGCAGTAAGGGGGGATCATCCCCCTTCCACAGCTTACCCCTTCTCCTCCCTCATTCCTCCCAGCCGGAATTTGTCAATGTGTGTTTCTGGTTTGTGCCCCCCAGCCTGCGGGGGAAGCAGGAGAGCCCGGATTACAGTGAAAGGCTGGCTAAGGTAGGCTCTCTCTTCTGGTCTCTGGTTATAGCCCACTTTAGGGAACTGTGATGCTTCTGGTGTGTTTCTGCCCCCTGCTGGCTGTGAGTGGCATGGCAGGTCCCTTTGCTAGTCTTGCTCCTGAGGTGGGGGTGTGAACTGGAAGACAACCCCAACTGGTCCTCATTTCTGTGGGGGTGGGGATGGGAAATAAGGTATGTTTCTGGAAAATGAAAAGAAGACAGAGAGGGATGTTACAGGAGAAGTCACCAGTGTGTAGTACGTAGTCCATGGGAGTTCTGCTGGGAGCTCGGGCCCAGGACAGCCGTATGAAGCCTTATTCCCTGATGCTGGGGGCAGAATAACTGTATAAGGCTGGTCCAGACATGCCTTCTAGAGGCAAGGAGATACGTCCTGTCCCTAAGGATAGATTGGTGCTAGGTGCTGCAGATGATCTGAAAGGACAAGAATGTTCTTGCCCTTAAGGGGTTATTTAGAAAACTAGAGTTACCTATCTGAAACCAATATGTTCAAGGCAATCTTGTAAATTACATGTTAGATTACAGGGTACAGATCACAGATATTCCAGGAATTCAGAGAGGGGAGAAGAAGGTGTTAAGGATGACAAAGGCTAGATGTTAGAGTAGAGCAATGCTGGGAGTCAGGGAACAGTCAGGATTTGGCAGAAAATGGCCCGTGTGACAACTTGGAGATATAGGTAAGATAGGAAATAATGCAGAAGCTGGAGAAGGGGGCGCCTGAGTGGCTCAGTCGTTAAGCGTCAGCCTTCGGCTCAGGTCATGATCCCAGGGTCCTTGGATGGAGTCCCGCATCGGGCTTCCTGCTCAGCGGGGAGCCTGCTTCTCCCTCTCCCATTCCCCCTGCTTGTGTTCCTGCTGTCACTATCTCTGTCTCTGTCAAATAAATAAATAAAATCTTAAAAAAAAAAAAAGAAGAAGCTGGAGAAGGCCAAGCAGGCAGGATGTAGTGGGAAAGGTGACCTGGGGCCAGGGTCAGGAGCTGAGCGATGAGTGCTCCCTCAGAAAGGTACCTGAGCGAGAGGGAAGTGCACCTAGGGGAGCGTGCACTGAGGCTGCAGCTGGAAGTTCTCTCCAACCCTTCCACAGGTGGCCCCAGTACTCAAGGAGCGCATGGTGAAGGAGGGCTCCATGATGATCAGCTACCAGCCCCATGGGACCCGGGGCAACTTTTTCCGCATGGTTGTGGCCAACCCTGCGCTGACCCGGGCTGATATGGACTTCCTTCTCAACGAGCTGGAAAGGCTAGGCCGGGACCTCTGAGCCTCCTCCTCCTCCTCCTTGCTGCTGGCCCTGACC